GATTTCTTACGAGGATTACAGAAAGATAGAAAAAAAAAGACATCACGTAATACGTAAGGCTGACTTCTTGTTCAATTCATTACATTAGATCATAAATTACCTGTTCTTTCAGTTAATCTACGCAGTGTTTAGTGTCCGGATTTAGGACTTGTGGATTCTCTCAGCAATTCAAACTGTACTATACAATATGAAGTACGTGCGGTTGCAGTTACAGCACGGTTAAATCATAAGTTCTAGAAGTTACGTCTACCCAACAACTAATTGTCGATCTGATAAATTAGAATTGATATTGTTCGTACAGGGGCGCACGTTCGTCCTTGAGGTCACTGCTGTTTAGCGTAAGTAACTAAATTTCGCTATGGCTAATCGCAATAAATAATATCGATCGGCTTTTCAAAAAGGTCCCATTGCTCTAACGAAGTTACCGACACGATAGCGTGTATCTATGTAAAATATAATAGATACGTACATAGAGAACCTCGGAGCGAGTCCAGTGTGATAAAACCCCTTGAAGCTTAAAGCGTTTTCTAGTAGTTACCCATTCGAAGAATGATTAGTTTCCACTTTTAGCTAACTTGTATGCAGTACTCTTGTTATTTGACTGCAGTACGATCAGGGCATGTGAGCCCCATTATACATTTGAATTCTGTATGCCATTCTTTAGCCCAATCAATATCTATCGTTTACGAATGGAACAATACACACCGTATCGGTGAATATCACGTATTAAACATCGATGCTTATAGATTGCTTGCTTACGTTTTCGCGTCCCTTTATCAAAACATGTCTCTAAGCGTTTTCTCTTCGCACTCTCCTATTTTCGGCTTCTGTTTCGGTATCAACGGTGTTCAGTTCAGCTAATTTTCAATTGTATAATGCTACTGACGTCGCAAAGCCTATTATGAGTGCTGCTAGATTTTTGTACAGCGCAATTCTCTAGGGACTCAGCGGATTCCCATCGCAAACTACGGCTATATTTTTTTCAGCTTCTGCGCCACCATTGCTTTGCTATTATATCTAACTATTGCTATTATATCTAACCGTGTTCCTCTGCCTTTTAGCCAATTGCTCTATATTGCTGCTATCACAGTCCCTACCACAGGTCATTTCTAACTCTTTGGGGCCAGCCAGCCAGCCAGCCAGCCAGCTTTGAGGGGTAGTGCCCTATGTAGAGGACCTCTTCATACAGACAGATACAGATGACGGTTAAAAAGAGATCGGTCTCAGATACAGGTCGGGCAAAACTTAGCCAACCGTCTGATCTCTACGTATGCACTACGTCTGGGCTTAGCATTTGTCCTCGATAAAAATAAAAACAAATGCACTGGATGATAAAATCAATGAAGACGGCTGCCACCGCCGTCGATGCTGCTGTTGTGTTCGTGCGGCAAAGAAATTTCCATGGAATATATACTAGATAGCTATTGTATCAGATTGGCCGTTGTTTTTTTGCGACCGTCCATCTGCCTATCTGATTATAGACGATTTCGCTTGTGGTATCAGTGGCATGCTCTGATACCACTAGTGTCGTACGAAGTATTTTAGTACGTAGGTCAGACGCGATCAACAACAACAGCAGGTTGCTGCCAGCGGTAGGGGAAGTTATGAGAAAATCTACAATAGACATAAGATATTTGTATACTCTGCTAAACCTAATCGGGAGACTGTGCTCTTAACATCATTTGTTGACACCCTAAAGCACTCTTGCGTCACACATAGGGATACGTTGGGTATGTCGACGTAGACATCTTTTCAATCGTTTGCCGAGCCAATACGTACCGCCATCAATAATTATAAAGCCTCATTGCGATCCACTTCAAAAAAAAAGGGGCGATTACTATGGGATTCTACAGCAGCTGTGACACTTCCCGGAGACTTTATAGTGCACAACAGCCCAAACGGAGACATCAGTTCACATACGCAATAGCAGAGCGCGAGAAGCATCACCGATGTCATCAATGACCTGTCATAAACCTTTTACTCAAGGCGAGACCGGAATGACAATAAACATCAATTATCGGTCTGGGCAAAAAAAAATCAGAGTGTGATCTAGGAAATAGAGCAGGGAGATATTAATGAGAATATCTAAGTTAAAGAAATAATAGCAGACAACTCTTAATATGTACATATCGACCAATGTATATATATATAGTTGTCAAACAAATATTCACCGTTTTTAATCCAAAATTAAAGTACATATACTTTATTCTTCAAAATAAGATTGCGTAAATAAATGTGCGTGATTTTCTGCTTTTTTCCGTATCACCATATTTCTTTACCATAAAAAATCTTTCGAGCTTCTGAACGAAAAACTGTAACAAGTAAGTTAATCTTAAATAATAGTCTGATTCGGGCTATACGACGACTATATTAAAATGTCTCAACGAAGTTTTTGCCGGATAGCTAACGTCGAAATGGAAAAAAAAAAAGGTTGACTGGAATTGTCATAGTCAAAAACGATACTTTTTCTATTCACTGGTTTCGGTCAATTTTTTCAATGGTTTCTCGTAATCTTGTTAATTGTTGCCAGTAGAGGTCCGAATCAAGCATTTCGCCAAGTAAAAGCAACTGACAATGCACGATTCCTCTCCAGGTCCACTAAAGACATTGCATGACCTTCTTTGACGTCAGTCTGGCTTTTTGGTACACATCGTAAAGCGCACCTTTTTTTTTTTTTCCCCTTGTTTGCGTATTGTGACCCCACTTTCTATTACCCGTAATAGTGGCTTAAATTTGTTGCGTTCCTTTGGAGTTTCGCAAATAGATATGCAACCAAGTAAATTATCTTGTATCAAACTATTTCAAACAACGAGCTTTTTCAAATAGTGTTGAACTGTTTGGTAGTGAATACTTAGTCACACCATAGTTATCCATCCACCATAGCTCTGGTTCAACTTGTGCAATAATCTGATAAACTTTTTCCGTGATCAGTAAACCACTACGAAGAGCCAGTTTCGATATCGAAGTTTTCAGAACAAAAGTGAAAAGCCATTTTTGATAACGCATCTTCACTGTTAATAACACAAATTTCTTATGTACATGGCCAGCATTTGTGCCTTCATCGTAGTAAATTTATAAAATAAAGCAATTCGTTATAGAAATTCATTTGGCGCTTGGCCAAGGCGCTTGATCTCATATTTGAATCAAGTAGTTTCACCTAATTTTAACGCAGTTTTTACTATGGAATTACAACATTTCAGTGACAGAAACGCCAAATTGAGACAGCTCGTATTGCCTAAGATATGAAATTAGAAAGCCAAGTAAAAACGGTCAAAATTTTTTCGACAACCCAATATATACATGTATACGATATTGCCGTGCGTGGTAAAAGGTAAATGATAGAATACGAACTAACTGCTACCATTGCTACTACTATAAGGGGAGGTGGACGATGCTTTGACGATTCAAGACAGATGTGTAATCGACGTTGCCATGTACCACATCGGGGATCGAAGTCCCGCAGAAGAAAGTATTGACAGATATGGTAACTAATGATTTTAAAGGAGGCCGGTCCATGGCCGGACACGAAAACGCCAAGGGCAGCTTCAATGTCACTAACGAAGAACTAAAGAATACGCGAAAAAGCTTAACAGGTGCGACGAAGTAGATAAATCAGAAGAAAATCGCGATATATTTAGATAGATATAAATGATATACGATCATCAACTGTAAAAATAACTTATTAGAACGTCTTCAAAAAAAAAAAACATAAAACATTATTTCGAATAAGTATCGACAGTGTTTTCTGGAATAGTCTTGAAATCATTTCAATACATGTAAGTTAAGTATATTCTATGAAATTACTGATTGATGCCCTTTTTTTTTTTCTTATTTGTTGCTTTCAGTACGCCTATGGGATACTCTCAGACGTTCTTTAGGCGTCCTATAGATGTGGATAGGAAAGTGCAATTTTTTATGCTTAATAAAAACTTATGCGGCTTTATTATAGCTAATCAAGAGCGTACCTAGCCAATACTGTGGCTGGCCGATTTTTTTATAATTATAATCGATAACTATAGTCGATGGCAGAATGGATCTAACAGTATAGTAAGTCGTCCAGAACAGGAGAATGAGAAAAGAAATCATACTAGTAGAATATGGTACCTTCCGTTTGGTAAAATTTTGTTTACGCAACATTGGTCAAGTGAACCTGCGTATGCTAACAGCTAAGGCAAAATCGTCGTCGAAGGTAGATCAACGTGTGTATACATTGACATCTTATAAATAATCTATAAAGAGGAAATTGATAAGACAGTACCTAAAATTACACATACTTCCATGTTTTGTTGACGGTTCGTCGTTTCGAAATAGTGCATTCTAACCATCATGCCGCTGATGCAAACACCTTCGAATGATAAAAATAATAAGAGAATTCATTTGTTGAAGTTGCGCATTTTCAAGACATCGATAAGCTGCTAAGTTTTTATTGGTAATCCAATATTTAGTATCTTGATAGAGAAAAAATGGTACATGAGCGCCCGCGGCCATTTTCTAACCATTTCCGAATACTGCAAATAATCATATCTCTTAAAAACGTATGCAATAACATCAATTGTGTTAACTTAGGATCGCATTTCTACGAGATGCTGCTATTACACGACACTTCCTGCAGAAACTGGTGCTTCTAGGTTTTGCTAGCTTGTTCATATAGAAACGCATGTTAAAAGTTGAATGTTTGGGAAATGCTAATCTATGGGGCTAGAGTAAAAGTCACGCACCAGAGTTCCTCTTTTTCCTTTTAGATAAAAAATGTCTTTTATGTCGGGTTTTTTTTTTTTTAGAATTCCTTCCTAGGAAGGAACTGCGTATTGCCATCGCGCTAACGTTAACCTTGTCAATAACCATAAGGGTTATATCTGCAGCAATTGCTCATGTACATATTTCCGCGTACGTTGCAGACTTGTGAATCTCTGTATGAATACTGCTCATAGACAGGTGTCTTTTTTGTTATTCAACGCCGTAGACATTTACCAAACAATATTGTCGATGGTACCCAGCAAACATCACTAGAGCCCTAGTAAGCATAACGTTTATCCTCAGCTGTTTATATTCTCTTAGCTTTTTTCTAGATTGGATTTCGTTTGTAGTAGCAGAAGATGCCTTAAATATAACTTTTCTGGGTCACTTTGACCACAGAGTAGTAGTGCCCGGAATTATTCGTATGAGCCACTGCTGCAGTATATCTCGCCTTTGTACAGGCAGTTATGTTAGCTAAATTGGCAGACCCGCATTCAGATCCTTTAAAAGGTAAAAGACTCTCTAATAAAATCACTTGTTTCAGGGCTCGACTCAGCGTAGAAAGGATCACCATGATGCGAATCATCTGGTTAACGACTATACTGGTGAACAGCGGTAGGTAACAGATCTTGAAATAAATTAAGTATGTTCCGATATTTTCGACTGACAGCTGCAAGATTACTGTCATCGATTCACTGAGATTTAAGCAGCATAATTCTACTTGATATAATATATTATCCCCTTAAGTATCTTTTGAATACTGTTAAGCTGAGCCGTTCGGACCAGCAAGATCTCCCGATCATTTGTACCTATAACGTGCTGTGGTTTTCTCGTTTTGCAAAGTGTATGTCAGCTATACGTGAAGCAAATGTTTTCCAGCTAGAAATGTGACTGCGTAGAAAAGAAGCAGATTTTTCAAGCAGTCCACCTACCTGTCGCATCTATCTATCTATCTATATCGTAGTCCACTTATGGTAATCTGTAAATTTATGTTAGTTTTTATTTGGCGGTTAGCTGTAAAGATCTACCATCACGTGTGACGCTTGTCGAAAGTGATCGAAGTAGTTGATCAATTTTTTTGCGACGCTCGCTTATTGTTAGTTACGCAGTTACTTTTTGCGCTAACTCACAGCCAGCCCGAGCGTAAGCCAGCACAACTTCAAAATACCCATGCCGTCTTTTTCGTCGTAGTTTAGTTTAGATGTGTAGGGCACATTGGGAATTTTTCACGCCCGCTTTATTCAAACTGGCTCATGCATAGTGCGGCGACCTTTGATCGCTGGTTACCTTGCTAATGATCGAAACTGTGACACAAGTAAAAACCTTTTTATATATACGTGCCTGTTTAACATCGAATTTCAATTCAGTGAAGTCGGTATATTAGCTCAGGTCACAGCCAAGTAGGAATTCATCTTTCAAACGTTACGATAGCATTAGGTACAGGTTATGAAATTATTATTATTATTACTGTTATTGAAATCCTAATTTCGTACTTGACTTTATTCAGCTTTTTGTAAGCCTGAGCCTAGGGAATGCGGGAGGTCGAGAACGTCGCCTTCGGCCACGCGCATCGTCGGTGGACGAGAAGCACTGCAGAAAGAGTTCCCCTGGCAAGTGTCATTGCAGATGAGAGGTAAACCTAATCAATGGCTCCACGTGTGCGGAGGGACGCTGTTATCCCCAGAGCATGTCCTTACAGCTGCTCACTGTTATAGTAGAAGATCAAAATACAGGGTCGTGGCTGGAATGCACAAACAGGGTGACATGAGTAACGAAGCTGTTCAAGCGGCAACCGTAAGTGATTCAGGTTTGACCATCTATGTCTCACCGTTTTCTTCCAGAATCTTAACATACCCATAGAGCTCATTTCACGTCCAATGGCGATAAGGATTCCCCTTGACGTTGGTCAGACTATAGGATTGTCCATGAAAGCTATGGACCCCAATTAACCTATGGAAAACAGCTCACGAATTAAAAATATCCTAATACATAACGATACTGTTGTCCATCAAACAGGTGTCATCATTTGTCATTCACGAAAGCTACAATAAACCGAAGCCTTTAATGAACGACATCGCCATAATCACACTAAAGGAGCCTTTGAATATGACTGAGGCCGTTGAGCCAGCGTGCTTGCCCCCCGCTGCTCCAACTCTTATGCAGCCTAATGACAAGATCACCGTATCGGGCTGGGGAACTACTCGTGAGGGCGGCCAGAGTTCACAGGTTCTCATGGCAGTCGAGTTACCTGTTATATCTGATACGCAGTGCAATGAGATGTACAATGGACGAGGATCAGGAGGATCGAGCACGTTCAACCCGATCATTGGCTTCTGGGAAGTGATCACATCAGTAACAGGTGGCGTACTACCAACATTGATGCCCCCGAAATTCGAAGCATCAAAAATTGCTTTAGATCGGGCCGCAGATGGCCCCATACAGGGCACCATGTTATGTGCCGGCTATCCTGAAGGTCGTAGGGATTCGTGTCAGGTGAGGAATTCACACTTCTAACAGTAGGTATGTTGCGGTTCAGCCACAAATAACGCACGAAATCAACACATAATCCCATCGTGTGCTTCGGCTAACTTCGACTGCAATTGAAGCGAGGATGCAAAACGTGATTTTATTGAACATGTATTCTGACAGTGAGCTCCAACGCATTTCCTGTTTGCTTTATTTTCGCGTCAGTCAAATGTTCAATTAAGTACCTGTATGCCATATGTCGAAGCTTTAGTCCAACAGTATTCTTCCATTAGCTTCATTGCTAATGGAAGAATACCGTAGAATGCAGAGTGACAATATTTTCAGGCCCTATTTCATTTAAAAAAAATATCTTGCTGTTTGGATTTTCACTGAAGAATCAGAATGCATTCACACGCCCATATAAACCTCCGTGTTTCTCCAGCTAAGCAACCATGTTGCCGATACATCATCGACTCAGACCAGAGATGTCTGTATCTGAGCCGCTAGCTATACCGCAATGGGCCGCATAACACTGCACTATAGTTTATATATCGATTTTGGCTTATTGCGGCGTTGTCTACAACTCAACTATTTACCATACTGCTATCTGATACTAGCTCTATTGGATCTGTTACAACGGCCGTTTAATGCGGCACAATTTGTAATTCAATGATTCGTCACAAGTTCCAACACAAATATCCATTTCACTATAATACTTATTGCCATTTCATTAATACGATGGACATGCTGCTTTCTGCTTGTGGTAGGGTGACTCCGGTGGTCCTGCGGTTTCAAAGATGAACGGCTCATTGAGTAACATTGTTGGCGTCGTATCTTGGGGAACAGGATGCGCTCGTAAAGGAAAGCCCGGGGTGTACACGGAAGTTGCATACTTTATCGATTGGATCAATGAGAAAATGCAATCATAGGTCCTTGTTTTTTAATCTGGATCGCATTTATCTGGATGTTCTTTGATAAATACGTATTCTTCTGTACACGTTTGGTTTGTAGAAATATGAGTAGATAAAAAGAGAAGAAAAAAAAAAAGGAGACGAGTTAACTGCTGATATCTGCGGCGATTTGCAAATAGGGCATACAAATACAAGATAAATAGAAGCGAGTTATAATCGCGCAGACGAATAGATCACCAGGTTCCATATGTGCGCCAAGTAGAATAGTACTGCAGTACTCAATATTGCAAGTGCGGTATCACTGGTAAAGAGTTTATTTGAGCTATTGAAGTAAAATGAAGCAACCAGTTAATTAATTTTGTCAGCAACTGAGAAAATATAGCAGAATCCAAAATGGTGTTTCTTAAAAAAACAAATAAAGGAACATGAAACGCGTATGTATTTCATACATTCGCGCTTATCTAATAGGTTACAACTAGCTTGGCCGGATCTCGACAACATATCACTAGTAGTAGAAATAATTATTAGAAACATTCTCTAAGTAACGATCATTCTATCTCCAAAGCATAAGCCGGGCACACGATCCACGATGGTCACCAGACTACGGAGACACCGGCATCCGAATCTGTAGCATTTCAAAATCCTGATTTCCATTCGAAGCCAATTAGATGACCCGTACAATAGATTAGGCCTATTGATAGTAGAAGAAATACCTTCGTATTGGTGGTTCGTTTGTCCTAGAACTGGGTTTAGCCAAACTGGGCGCAGGCAGCAATGACGCGTCTGATCTAAATCACAACCATAGAATTCGACAACAGTAAATGTAGACTAGTATATCTTTACTATGTCACAATATGTCGCCTATTGATCTGACATTGGTAAATATATTTAGCACTATGTTCCTCTGATAAAAGAACTGAATATTTCAATACGTCCTGATATTAACCTATGGACTAGTATGTAAGTGATTCGTAATGTGTACTATAGCGGGTACCAATTGAACGCGAACAAACCTTATTTTTCTAAGTACATGAAGGTTGTGAGCGATTTTTTTGTGCTACACAAAGCGTCATTACTCAATATTTTCGGGCATTTTCTTGTATAACTGTTACAAATAGGTTCTATTTCAATACTACTACGTGCCGAGCAATATTTGCACCTTTATGCATTGACCACAAAGAAGACATAAGTCAGTTTGGCGAAGTAATGATTAGGTAGAAGTGTACTGAAGTAACGATGCTTATGCCATATATAGCTATATAAGTGGTCTAACCCTAGGAACATCTATTAAAAGCCGCTTTGCGGTCCTTCATACAGAGCCACATAAATCATAATTTACGTAGTCTCAGCTTGACATAGCTGAACGCTGGCACAAGCGATAACAGGTAGGAAAGTTATACTCTCCGTAATACAAAATCAAAACAGTATTTAAGATTCAGTTTTTTCTAGGTTTCGGTAACCCCAGGCCTACAGCATGTGATCATTTAGGAACGTCGCCGTCAGCTATTTGCATTGTAGGTGAAAGAGGGGTCCTTAGAAAGGGGCTCCCGACACCGGTGTTTCTACAAATGGGGCGCCCTCTTAGCGTTTGGTTTCAGATCTGCGGAACGTCGATTCCATTTTCACGACTAGTTCTCAGTACATCGAACCGTAGCTGGATGAAATAAAAAATCGAGATGTTCAAGTTGGAACCGTAAGGCATTTGTGAACACTTTTTATTCGTATTGCAGGCCCTCTAGTTTAATTTAAAGTATTCACAATAACAATAATGTATTGAAACTAATGCACAATAGCGGATTAGATGGCGCTGTTCTTAGATTTGAGCCACAGTTACGGCTAATCAGTTTGTTCTTACTAACTTCAAAAAACATAACACACGAGCATTTTTCTTTAAAGTGAATGTTTATTATTAGTCTAATAATTCTTAAATAATCGAAGCCAGCAGGTGAGGCAGCTTCCAATTTCTAATTATACTACCGACTGGGCAGGTATCGTCGTTGCATACAATATTCCTATTCATCAACGAAGTATATTGCCATCATCGCACTGAACGATCCTTTTCATGCTATATAGAAAGGATGCTATAACCTTGGCAAAGCCAAGATTATAGCATCTTTTTGCTTGATACTGACTGCTGTTGCGACCCAACGACACGATTACCGTATCAAGTGAGACAGCATCCAGAAACACCATCGCTCCGCTGTACCCTGTCGTTACGGGTTCGCCTATTATCTTCCGTGCAAAATACAATGAAAGAGGACGTAATCCGATTACAGGCTACTGGGAAGTGGTCATATCGGTTAGAGAAAATTTGCGGCGGGGGTACTTAGTTGTATTTGAGGTTCTGGTTAGATAGTTAGTTTGGTATTTCAGCGACACGATGCTGTATGCGGGATGCACTGAAGGAGAAAAAGACCCGTGCCAGGTATAAAATAATTAAAACACTGTAATCAGCAGGTATACGAGTAATGAATGGGCTGTCGCAATGGATGCAGTCACCTGAGGTAATACGAAAAAAATCTTGTAGTTGATGTTGAACGAAGTTCAAGTTTCCTCATATAGACCCGAGCGCTGGTCATCTACGTGCATATTTAACATTTATTATACGATTATTGTTCAGTATATTGCTTTTGCGTACATATTGTACCGATACAAGCAGAACTAGTGAAGACACCAGTATCATTATCTATCGTTGGCGATACAAGCGGCACTGTTCGGAGCATTACATATGGAATCGACTCTGGTGCCGAGATGCGAAAAAGATACTAAAAATTTTAAACATAACGATTTACGGTATGAATCGCATCTCTCCGTGAAGACGATATCGTCACGAAAATACAGACTGGTCAGTGATGGCTGCGCGGAATTTTTGAAACGTCACAGGATGTGTGCCACCGAATCAGTTGCTTCGAATATTTCCGGCCGTCGAAACTCACCGTTATTGTACTAATGATTAAGACGTTTTCTTGTATTTGTGACAGGAGAGCTCTCGTAACCCCGCAGTGACCGAGATGGCCAGCAATGCGACGAACATTGTTGTTGGCGGGACACCCCCGAAACGGACTGCGCTCGTGAACAAAAGCTCGGTATATATCCTGAAACCGCGTACTTTGTCGACAGCTTCAAAAATAGAATGCAATTGTAGCTTGTAGACATATATACACATTAGTTGAGTATGCTTTTCTCATTCATATATGAAGTTAGCGGACATAAATCTTATCAGAACCTGCTTGACCGAATGATGTCCCTGCAATAGACGCGCATTACTATTTCGATCAGTTTGAAATGGGGCAAGACAAAAATTGAATGCTGATTCCTTTAATTACCCATTACGAAAAAATGCGAAAATATTATTTAGAATTGAAGAGTTGGTAAAATCGGAATTTCCCAATTAAAGTTGAACTAGAATAAATCCTACACCCGATAGTATTATCCGTAGGATTATATTAAAAACAAACATACAAATATTGCAACAGAAGCTAAAAACGGAAGCCGGCCGTGCGCTCCGTCTAGAATTCCAGGGCTGAATTCCATTGATATTTGTGGCTTTAGATAGGCTTAAATAATTGCGTTTTAGAGGGTACATTGCGAAATGAAAAGATAATTCCTTGTTTTGTACACACGTCCTGTAATCTATATGACCTTAGAAGGACCCAAAGTAGCAATAAAAATCGTTTCAGAAAAAAACAGGACCAGTCACGTAGATTTCGAAGCGCTGGATACGGTAATATCTAATTTATAATACCATTAACGAGTAACGTAGCGTAACAAGGTGGCATAGGTACGAAACATGGTTTCGTACTGGAATAAGCCAGCCATCTTGAACAATAACTCACGGCAGTACCACACGTAAAACTCAAATTATTTATTTCGGTTCAATGGGTATTTAATGGGAATAAAGATAAGATATTTAGCTAGCCAAATAAATGTTGTTTTTAAAATTGAGTGTGTTTTAGAAGACAAAATGTTTGATCTTGTTTACTCTTATTGCCAACGTGTTTTCTTGGTAAGAACCGGGACAAAGACGCTTTAATGCAATTACCTGGCACGTGAGTATCTGTAATAACCTGAAGATGAGTTACTGAAAAAATATTTATGGCCAAACAACTAACGTCAAATAGGTAAAATGAGTAGATACTTTATTGAAATCGCAGAAATAAAAAACCACTTGCTGCACGAAGACGTTTTCATGTGACCCTTCTAGGTTTCTCTTTCAGCCACACCTAATTTTTTCTCGAAAATTGATTGTGTATTGACCTGCTCACTGCGTGAGACACGAACGCCGTCCACAGGTTTATCAGATATTTTGTACCGTTATCTTCAAGCCATCTGCGCCATCCGTATGTGTAGGTCCAACAGATGATATCGTCGTTCTAAATGTTAATTTTTTCTGCAATCACCAAATTTTTAGAGATGTTCTGTTTTCTTCATGAAAGATTTTTTTGCTACAGTTTTGTATAACTTTTATATTTTTTACAGTAAGCGAGGGAAGACGCTCAGCACACAGCTCTAGTAATAATCGAATTCGGAATATGCGCCCCCAAGGGAATTTTGCTAAACAGAATTAAAGGTAATGGTAGTAGCTTTAACAGTGGCCAGATATTAAAAAAGTTGTTTCAGCTCCTTAATACAACGATGACATAGCCAATAGCTCCCTCAGGCTTGTTACCCAAGGACAATTTAGATATTTAGTGATCTTTCCGTTCCGCCAATGACCGGATTAATCAGAAAGCATATCGAAAAATGAAATTCAAGGCACTGGTGATGCCGCGTGAAGTTTAAGCAGTACGCTTTGGAGCTCTTATGACCAAAATATAGATATAATCGTACCATAGATAATAACTAACGTATCGATGTTGGGGTTTTCGATCCCTATGAAACGGCGCCCGGCGGAGATCAAACAAAACCGAGCAAATAAGACACACCCGTTTCGAAGACCTCAGCGTAGGTAGCGGCTTACGATTGTTGAATTCCCAACTTCCCCCAAGCCCTGTCTGCCCATCTGACGTACCTATTTGGGCGGTTAGGCTAATAGGGTTCCGCAGGGTGAACTAGGGATTCTCGTCGCGTCGTACTCTTCGCAAGCATGAACCCACTCAACCTAGTCGGGCAACGTGAGCATGGCCAAAGACTGACACGTGCAATCGACGAAACCCTTTCCGAAGTGTCGGGCCAAGGCTCTCTCAAAAGAGGTCCCGGCTTATTTGGCTTGATCAGTAGCGATTTGAGATGGAGCGTCTTAATGAGAATTCTTCTTTTTTCTTTTGTTTGTTTCCTACGGAATCTTTGTTTGAATTAAACTCAAAATTAATGACTTCGCTAATCTAGTAAGTAATGTTGGTGTATAAATGTTGTGTGTTTGTATGCATCAGATCCATAGCTTACATTGATGCTAACATAAAGAGCTCAAGACGAACAGATCAGCAAATGAGTACACGAGTCTGTGGATGTATGGTGTTTGCTGATCATGCCTGACGAAGGCTTGAGCACTTCATGAAGGTGCGTAAACGAGTGAAAAAGAACAGAAAGTAGAAAGTTTCAGATGCCACACATACAGTGCCAACGAAAACAGCACGTCAACATCATCCAAACAGGGCGAGAGGTTTAATCATAGATCATTAATAGTTATTCAAATCATTCGTTTGACTCATTACAGTAAATAGCAACCGTCGTAGTCCCTTGAAAGCATCCCTGCTAACCCTATCCAATATTCAATAATGGATAGGAATCTAGTGCATCACAGGACTGAGAGCAAAGCCAGCCGATCTTAGCTGAAACTATCAGCTTTTCGTAGAGTAATTAATACCTAAAGATTGGAAAGGCCCGTTCTACGCCGCTTAATGCCAATGCGATAGGCCTGCCTGCCTGCCTGCCAAGATGACTGACTCTTCAGAGGCGCGGGGGCAACCCACTGTGAAGATCATTGCGGGACCGGTTTGTATCAGTAATGAGTGCTTTCTATCGGAGAAACAACTATATCGCAGGATAATACACACATTTTATAAAGAGTAACTTGTTTGATATTAGTCGAAATATTATTATTTCCTTTTTTGTACTAAAATTAAGCAGTCGACAAATGAAAAACCTGAAGTTAACAAAAATATATGCAACTTCTGAAACTATAAAAACTAGAAAAGAAACTATAGAACGTGAAAAAAAATGAGACAATTTTTGACAAACTATATGCTATCTGCCTGTACCTATATAATCGTCCACTATGCCACGAAGTTACATTGCGTTAATCAAATGGACTCTAGCTGCTATATTCTATGATAGTTTTGTCCTAATTGAAAATTGATTAATCAGTTGATTGTTAAGGTGGAAAACGTCAGGTGTGCGTGCATTTAACATCTCCTTTATTCTACCTTGGGTAATTTTTCTCTGTATTTTTATCACTACTATAGTTATTTATTTTAGGTGAGTAGGCTCCCAAAAGTTCCTAGGTATAGCATTGCGACAATGCCTCATTAGTAGTCTAACCGAAGTGAATATTGCTGAACGTTTGTGAGCTTCTTCGGTGTTAGGTCTTTGAAACTACGTGCCATAGCTTTCTTAATTCTTTTTTTCTACATATTAGTAATAATTAATCATCTTCCTGATTTCTACCACGACGGGATTTGCTAGCTAGAGATATAATGGCACTTCAAGAGATGCGCATTATTACCAAGTTATTCAGTTTCTTGTGACCACTAACTGTAAAA